TGTGTGGACTGCTGATCATAGATCTGATAGAAAGCCGAGAGTATTCTCTCTACTTTTAACACCGTTGTTGCTGGAGTTCCACATGGACCGATGCTAGGTCAGTTTTTGTTTCTGTTTTTGTTCTGTTATAGCCGATATATAAACTAGTAACATGGACGATAAAAGCACACAAACTTATATATTTTTTAAGATTATCTAGGGCACGGCTCCACACCATAGAAAATATTGTAGAACATTTTCCGATGTTTTCCTTTCTAAAACTGATGCACTCTTCCCGATACAACTAGGTAAATATTGTGTGCCAACTTAGAATTGAAGTCAGCAACCTCTGTTTTCCATAGTCGTCTGAGCGATTCCCCAATATGCATGTGGCATTCTAGAGTAAACCCTTGATATTAGCTCATCATCCCTATCATTATCAATGACCTTTGCAATAATCAAGCAAAAACACGGATGTCATAATGATATCTGAAGAAACAAACTCATTTCGTTGAGAAGCGTATCAGAATACATTACATCACCGTACGAATCTCCACGAACACGGCATTAAAAACCATGACGTATGATCCTTGGAAATCGCGCCGCAAAAGACTAAAAATTTGCCCCCAAATCAAATAGTGCCCATGAAAAATTGAATAAGAAAACTATGACACCTCCTTTCATGAAAATGAAAAATAATTATAGCCGTGACTTACAATATCAGAACCTGAATGAAGCTGTTGTTACGTCACTAGAACTCTCCCCTCCCCACCCCCCCACCCCCCCACCCCCCTCCCCATCAAAAAAAAAAAAAAAAAACATCTTATAGTATAAAACGCTGACAAAATAAGTTATATCACCTGAAAAAGGTTTAGCATTTTAACTTTACACTCACAATCACGATATTAACAAATCAATTTTTATGGTATGGAGATGTAAAAAAAAAAAAATTCGCGACAAATACAGTTTATTCAATACAACTGTACACACTATCTAAACGGTTTTATTATGTTTACTTATTGTGATGTTGGGAGTTGATAGCCGATCGTTTGGCCGATAGATTTATCCCCATTATAGCTTCGCTTTGATAGAGATATGATTAATTACATACACGAACACCGCTGTTTAGGTAGGGCTCTGTCTGCTATGTATCCGTTCCCTTGGAAACACAGATGATTTGTTGGTTTATATAAATTATTGTGTTACAATGGAGATAATGTCTGTTACCTGTTAGATATATCGGTATATATATGCCGTCATGCGCCTTCCGCCGTGCATATTCTCCCCATTCAAGCGACTTCTTCTAAATAACCAACAGGCTAAGTGTGCTGAACTTTGGCCTATAACATATGTCCAAATAAATGGCATTGACCCACTTTCTATGGCACAGAGATTAAATATATTAAAATCCTAAAATGGCTTCTTCTCGATAGCACAGAGGATGCTGACATTCGGCATACAGCATATTGGGATCAAGGACCATCAATTTTGTTCAAATGAATGACATTGACCCACTTTCAAAAGTAACAAGATTAAATGTGTTAAAATCTTTCATATTATCGTTTTAATAACCAAAAGTCCCAAGATGCTAATATTGGGCCTGCAGTATGCGGGGATAAAAGGCTACCAAGTTTTTTAAATGAATGACATTGACCTTTTCTCCAGGTCACAGAGTTTAAAATGTGTTCAAATATTCAAACGACTTCTTTTCAATAACAAACGCGTTCGGGCTATTGATAATGGGCCTGTGGTATATTTGGAAGAAGGGGTACCAGTTTTTTTTAAAAAGATCGACATAAAAATTGGGTGATTGACATTGACCTACTTTCCAGGTCACATGAAACGCTACCAAGTGTATCAAAATTAAAGACCATGAATCAATTTCAAGGACACAGGAGTCAAATGTGTTGAAACCTTAAGACTTTTCCCCAATAACTAAAAGGTCAAGGTTATTGCTTTTATAACATGAATGTATGAGACAGAAATTGACATGACGAACCGATAATCTTTTCTGTAGGCAGATGCACAATTCGGGGTTATTAGGCCTTTTGTTTGTCTTAGCTGTTAAACTTTTGGAATCTAAACTGATTTAATATAATTTTATTACTGTTCCTACTTCTAGTACTTCAGCTGTTATATCTTATATATGTTTTTTATAGTCAGGTGACCAGTTAGGCCCATGGGTCTCTTGTTTTTTCAATCTACGTCAGATTAAAAAAGAATCCAAGTTAACAGTTTGTGACATGTTTACATATATCAGATATGAATGCATTACATAGTTTATGTATTTTTCATGATGAGATGTCCTCAGAAAATGTATTAGTACTTGTGTGATTAATCACTGTGTATAGACAGACAACACGACACGAATTAACGTGTTTATAGAGCTACATGCTTTTAATTAAATGAAACTACTTGAGCTTTGGTTTGTGTCACACGAAGTCCGTTTCCTCAGTCGTTTCCTAGTGTTGATATAACGAGGCGTTCGACACCGTCACGCGACTGGGAGACATGCACCCTCTTTAGTGTTATTTAATGGCCGAGTAATGTTGTAAATGTATATGTGACTAGAGGGTGGGCGTCAGATTGCATTTATTGTCTTTATAAATACAATCTGGACGACCAATAAATAGAATGATACTTGGTGACATCTAAACAATTTGGACGTTTGATGACGGTAGGGTATAATTATATGTGACAGTAAACATGTTTAATTACTGTTGGTTATAATTATGTGTGACAATAAGTGTTATTTTACTGTACTAAATGATAATATGTGAAAATAAGTGTTATTTAACTGTACTAAATGGTAATATGTGACAATAAGTGTTATTTTAATGTACTAAATGATAAAATGTGACAATAAGTGTTATTTTACTGTCGGGTATAACTATATGTGACAACAAGTGTTATTTTACTGTCGGGTATAACTACATGTGACAACAAGTGTTATTTAACTGTACTAAATGGTAATATGTGACAATAAGTGTTATTTTAATGTACTAAATGATAAAATGTGACAATAAGTGTTATTTTACTGTCGGGTATACCTATATGTGACAATAAGTGTTATTTTACTGTCGGGTATAACTATGTGTGACAACAAGTGTTATTTTACTGTCGGAAATAACTATATTTGACAACAAGTGTTATTTTACTGTCGGTAATAACTATATATGACAATAAGTGTTATTTTACTGTCGGGTATAACTACATGTGACAACAAGTGTTATTTTACTGTCGGGTATAACTATATGTGACAGCAAGTGTTATTTTACTGTCGGGTATAACTACATGTGACAACAAGTGTTATTTTACTGTCGGATATAATTATATCTCACAGTTAGTATCATCAGATGGTGGGCAGTGTCCGTGGTCCGTCCTTTAGCTTTCCTTGTTTTCTTGGATCTTGGTTAACTTTCATGTAGAGGTTCTCTTTGGTCCCCAGTGACTTCACTTTGATTTCCGAAATGATTAAATAAACAAAATGGCTGACAAGGGGTCATCTTGGATTTTGTTAATGAAAAATTGTTGTCCTTATTTCGTAGGAAATACTTTATGAGTCTTTCTCAAAACCATATCTAGGCTATCGTTTATCTCCAATTGTGTGGAACTTGTCAGGAAAACGAAATGTCTGACAAGCAGTCATCTTGGATTTTGACGATAAAAAGTGTTATCACTATCTCTTCAGAAATACTGAATTAATTTTTGTTCAAATCCTATTTGTAGGTCTTGCTTCCTATTTGTACCTTTTTCTTTTTGGGACCGATCAGAAAAACAAAATTCCTGATAGGTAACCATTTTTGACTCGACAGTTAAAAATTATTATTGCTTTTTCTTAAGAGGAACTTTCAAATTTCATACAATCAAGAGCAAAAGAACGGAAATACGGAAAAGGAAGGGAAAATAAAACGAAGTTCAAACAATGGTGGGCGTCAAGATCCCTCTAGGATGTTTTGTAACGCCAACATTACCAATAGTACACCGTATTTTGTCTTCGTTTTGTCTCCAAACCCTGAAATGTCATTGAACTTATAACGTAACAGTTGTTATAAGTGCATGTTTTCTAGATAAAATACTCTATAAAACCACATGTGATTATACCTGCCTAGGTATACACTTTATTTAAAAACTGATTACCAACACATAACATCACCTAGACCTACATTTAGGCAGATGTTAGCCTCCCGGATTTTAGTAAGATACTTAAGAGATAACAGAGGTTATATGATTCCTCTGTGTCGCCCTACCAGAGAATATAATTAGTCATCAATACGTTATTTGCAGCGCTAGCTGGTGGCTTTGATGTTACCGTGGTCGACGATTGAAGAACACGTTAACGATTACTAGCTGAACCAATTTCTGCAGCATAAACGTATCGTTATTTTGGTATTTATCTTAATATCAGATAAGCTTCTTGAGGGGTAGCCCGGAATTAACATGTCCACCGTGAAAAGGTTTGTGATGTTCTCGTTCCCCTATATTTCTATAACGTTTAATGAAATATTAGACCACTGAGTATAATCTTTATTTACATTTATTCACAGAGCAAAAACAGAAAACATGTCGGAAGACGTACTAGTCAAAGGTCCAAAATCAAACTGCAACGTCGTCTCAACTCCATCAAGAACCTTATTGCCGCCAGGAGTCGCTTTTGATATAGAATGCTGGCCAATGCCATTCTCCCGCCAGCCGTTGACAGACGCCATTATCACGAAGACAATTTGAAAATCTATTGCCAGCTGACGACTGAACCACACATGAATCACGCCAACATCTCTATCGTCAGTGACTGTTCTACATGGACATTACAGACGGTGAACGGTACGTGTAAAAATGGCACGGATTTAACTACAGAACAGTTTGCTGACGACGCGGATTTACCAAAAGTATTAGAATTATTTCTTGGTGTACTCCTAGTATGTATGATATTAATAAGTTTTCTGGGAAACTCTATAGTGTGTTTTATCGTGTATCAGAAGTCGGCCATGCGGTCGGCCATCAATCTGCTCCTCGCCAACATGGCGTTCAGTGACATATGCACAGCGACCTTCTCCATGACGTTTTCGTTCTCAGCGTTGTTCTGGAAAGAACATGTTCTAAGCCCAGAGTCGTGCAAGGCGATGCTGTTCTTGTTGGATACTTTTGTGTCTGTGGGAGTTTTCATGATCCTCACCATCAGCATGGACCGATATATGATAATTGTCCAACGTAAAGACAAACTTACAACGTATCGCGCCAAAACGCTAATGGTCGCCTCGTGGCTGGTATCTATGGTGATGGCGTTTCCGTCAACGGTTGGATGGGGTGATTATAAGTTCGTTCGAAGTCACACAATTTGTGTTCTTACATTCGACGGTAAAGCACGCGACGTTGGATTCATGATTCTTAAGCTGTGTGTTACACATTTCCTCCCCGTATTAGTGATGGCGTTCTCATTTGTACAGATACTAGGAGCTGTCCGTAAGAACAAATGCAGGGTTCACAATCATCCAAATATGGATTTTAGTGTTAGTGTAATAAGTAACAATGGCAGGCTAGGAATACCAGTTTTACAAAGATCGTTTCGGGTAAGTCTCGATATGAGTTTTAAAACTAGGGCATTCAAAACTATCCTTCTTCTATTTATCACATTTGTCCTGTGTTGGACACCTTACGCGCTAAATATAACAATTTCACAGTCCCATGGGACATTTAACAGGATGGGACATTTGATTCTGTTGTGGATAGGCTATGCAAATAGTGCTATCAACCCCATAATTTACAGTATTCGGATAAAAAAGTTTCGTCAGGTGTGTAGCATGTGGCTCCCGAATAGACGTAAATCTAGGACGAATATGATGGGGGCTACCAAACGAAGGATCAATCCCAGCGCCATGTACGAATTCCAGGACTCGTCGAACACATCCAACTAACTCATGTTATATAACAGTAAATAAATGGTGTAGAAAATGGATTTAAGTTTCCTCTCAGTTGACCTGAAAGTGACGATTTAAACAGGAGCAGATGGATTAATAGGCTGCCCTACTAATTCGGCGTCGGAGAAAACCTGACAAGGAATAAAATATATTTGTTATCCCGCATGTCAGTACAATAATCGGGAACATTAGAAATGTCGACCTTTGATATCATGTCACTTGTTTTTGACCCAATGAATACTGAACAGATAACAACAGGTCCCCGTTATATCTCTCCCATTAACAACTCATTTTACCGGATCTTATAGCGAGGGATTGGCAACATATTTAGTATGTCATTCGAATGTACATCCGGTTATTAAGATAATTAACCAATGAAATATTTTTGCATATGTATTATAGCCTGGATTATTCTCCATTAGCTCCGCCAACTGACTGTAATGTCATAACATCGACAATGACATTACAAAATGGTTGTCGCCGTCTCATTTTGTGCTTCTTATTTTGATTTCGACCAGTCAGAATGTGACTTTTCAGAGTGATGTCATAAAAAGTATCCCTGTTTGGTTTTTATTACATAAACTCTTCTGTAAGTTGTAATTTGCATTACTTTTATGTTAAACATGGCAGCAAATCATCACAGAGAGAAATCTTGGCGCCAACCGTTGTTTTATCTTTATTTGTTCATTGAAAGTTGTTTTTCCCCTTCCCTTATTTCCCCTGTTTTTGTCCTAGATTTATATGAAATTTAAACTTTCCTCGGATGAAAAGGGATAATAACTTTTATTCACAGATCCAAGATGGACGCCAGTCAGTTTGTTTGTTTTTGTTTTGTTTTTTGTTTTCGTTTTTCTTTTCTTTTTTATCAATCCAAAAGTCAGAATGGCAGAACTACGCAGTTAGGCTAACCTACGGATGTAAATTTGCGAAAAATCCATCCAATATTATCATAGTCAGAATTCAAGATGTCAGCCAGTTTATTTGTTTGTTTTTTCATATCAACCCACAAATCAAATGGCCACAACTAGAGACTACAATTGAAATTTGAGAAAAATCCGTCCGTTCCTTCCCAATCATTATTGATGACACCTTTTCATTTTCAAAATCCAGCAAATTTATTTTAAAAAGGCAAAAAAAAAAAAGACCGATGAAAAAGCTATTGCTTTATCTGATCAGTCACAAAACAGCACGACTAGGAACCAAAGAAAGCCTACATGTAAAATACTGGAAAGATCCATCAATTCTTAAGAAATGCCGATAACAAATGTTCATAGTCAAAATCCAAACATACCACATTTCGGTCATGTTTTATCATTCATGAAATCCAACGGACATACTTAGGGACCAATGGGAACCCGTATATGAAATTTCTTTTCAAGGAATAGCAATATCAGTCTTTCATAGTCAAAATCAAAGAATGCGATCTGCCAGCCACTTCGTTTTGTCTGATCACCCCCAAAATCAAACGGGGCTATTTAGTGACTAAAGGAACCTACCTATGAAAATCCATCGTGTATTTCTCAAAACATAGCGATACCAATCTTTCATTGTCAAAATCCAGTATAGCCACCTGTCAGCCAGATACATGTAGTTTGACTGTTTGCTCTGTTGTTACATACCTTGTTATCTTGTTGAAGCTTACTCTTCCGGAACACCTGGTTTTATAACCCTTGTATTTTTTCTCCGTGTAATTTTTCTCCTTTTGTTCATATTTTGACCTAGCTTCACATGTTTGTATTCTCTTGTTTTGTTGTTTTTTGTTTTCGTTTTTTTTATCAGTCACAAAATATAAAAAAAAATGCGTTTATCAAAATTGTTTAAGGATTAAGGACTGAGATAGACCTCGGACGTAAGGCAGTTTAAACAGTCTACAATACCATCTGAAGATGGTGGGCTCAGAACTATGAGTATTCGTTTCATTAAATCTTAATGTATTAAGTTTATTGATATGTATTCATAGATTTATATGCACGTCTGTTGTGAGGTTTCAATTATTTATATGTACGTATATAGCGAGGTTTAAGTGATTTATATGTGAACGTATATAGCAAGGTTTAAGTGATGTACGTATATAGTGAGGTTTAAGTGAATTATATGTGTACGTATATAGTGAGGTTTAAGTGACGTACGTATATAGCGAGGTTTAAGTGAATTATATGTACGTATATAGCGAGGAATTATATGTGTACGTATATAGCGAGGTTTAAGTGACGTACGTATATAGCGAGGTTTAAGTGAATTATATGTACGTATATAGCGAGGTTTAAGTGATTTATATGTGTACTTATATAGCGAGGTTTAAGTGATATATATGTACGTATATAGCGAGGTTTAAGTGAATTATATGTGTACGTATATAGCGAGGTTTAAGTGATGTACGTATATAGCGAGGTTTAAGTGAATTATATGTGTACGTATATAGCGAGGTTTAAGTGCTTTATATGTACGTATATAGAGAGGTTTAAGTGAATTATATGTGTACGTATATAGCGAGGTTTAAGTGATGTACGTATATAGCGAGGTTTAAGTGAATTATATGTGTACGTATATAGCGAGGTTTAAGTGATGTACGTATATAGCGAGGTTTAAGTGATGTACGTATATAGCGAGGTTTAAGTGATGTACGTATATAGCGAGGTTTAAGTGATTTATATGTACGTATATAGCGAGGTTTAAGTGATGTACGTATATAGCGAGGTTTAAGTGATTTATATGTACGTATATAGCGAGGTTTAAGTGATTGTTCGTTTATAGCGAGGTTTAAGTGATTTATATGTACGTATACAGCGAGGTTTAGTGATTTATATGTACGTATATAGCGAGGTTTAAGTGATTTATATGTACGTATACAGCGAGGTTTAAGTGATTTATATGTACGTATATAGCGAGGTTTAAGTGATGTACGTATATAGCGAGGTTTAAGTGATTTATATGTACGTATATAGCGAGGTTTAAGTGATGTATATATGTACGTATATAGCGAGGTTTAAGTGATGTACGTATACAGCGAGGTTTAGTGATTTATATGTACGTATATAGCGAGGTTTAAGTGATTTATATGTACGTATATAGCGAGGTTTAAGTGATGTACGTATATAGCGAGGTTTAAGTGATTTATATGTACGTATATAGCGAGGTTTAAGCGATTTATATGTACGTATATAGTGAGGTTAAAGTGATATATATGTACGTATATAGCGAGGTTTAAGTGATATATATGTACGTATATAGCGAGGTTTAAGTGATTTATATGTACGTATATAGCGAGGTTTAAGTGATTTATATGTACGTATATAGCGAGGTTTAAGTGATGTACGTATATAGCGAGGTTTAAGTGATTTATATGTGTACGTATATAGCGAGGTTTAAGTGATGTACGTATATAGCGAGGTTTAAGTGATGTACGTATATAGCGAGGTTTAAGTGATTTATATGTACGTATACAGCGAGGTTGAAGTTATGTACGTATATAGCGAGGTTTAAGTGATTTATATGTGTACGTATATAGCGAGGTTTAAGTGATGTACGTATATAGCGAGGTTTAAGTGATTTATATGTACGTATATAGCGAGGTTTAAGTGATGTACGTATATAGCGAGGTTTAAGTGAATTATATGTGTACGTATATAGCGAGGTTTAAGTGATGTACGTATATAGCGAGGTTTAAGTGATTTATATGTACGTATACAGCGAGGTTGAAGTTATGTACGTATATAGCGAGGTTTAAGTGATTTATATGTACGTATACAGCGAGGTTTAAGTGATGTACGTATATAGCGAGGTTTAAGTGATTTATATGTGTTTATATGTGTACGTATATAGCGAGGTTTAAGTATATGAGGTTTAAGTGATTTATATGTACGTATACAGCGAGGTTGAAGTTATGTACGTATATAGCGACGTTTAAGTGATTTATATGTGTACGTATATAGCGAGGTTTTAAGTGATGTAAGTATATAGCGAGGTTTAAGTACGTATATAGCGAGGTTTAAGTGATGTTATATGTACGTATATAGCGAGGTTTAAGTGATGTACGTATATAGCGAGGTTTAAGTGATTTATATGTACGTATATAGCGAGGTTTAAGTGATTGTACGTATATAGCGAGGTTTAAGTGATTATATGTACGTATATAGCGAGGTTTTAAGTATGTACGTATATAGCGAGGTTTAAGTGATTTATATGTACGTATATAGCGAGGTTTAAGTGATTTATATGTACGTAAACAGCGAGGTTTAAGTGATTCATATGTACGTATATAGCGAGGTTTAAGTGATTCATATGTACGTATATAGCGAGGTTTAAGTGATTCATATGTACGTATATAGCGAGGTTTAAGTGATTTATATGTACGTATATAGCGAGGTTTAAGTGATTTATATGTACGTATATAGCGAGTACGTATATTATATGTACGTATATAGCGAGGTTTAAGTGATTATATGTACGTATATAGCGAGGTTTAAGTGATGTATATGTACGTATATAGCGAGGTTTAAGATTGATATATATGTACGTATATAGTGAGGTTTAAGTGATATATATGTACGTATATAAGGTTTAAGTGATATATTGTACGTATATAGCGAGGTTTAAGACAGATTTATATGTACGTATATATCCAGAGGTTTAAGTGATATATATGTCTCACTATCCAGACAGTGTTTAAGTGACTATATACGTATATAGACAGGTTTAAGACAGATTGTCTCACTATCCAGACATGAAGGGACAGATTGTCCAGACAGTGTTAAGAGGACAGATTGTTTATCCAGACAGTGTTAAGAGGACAGATTGTCTCACTATCCAGAAAGATTGATCACTATCCAGACAGTGTTAAGAGGACAGATTGTCTCACTATCCAGACAGTGTTAAGAGGACAGGATATTGTCTACTATCCAGACAGTGTTAAATTAAGATCCCTTGATGTGTATCATATCCAGACAGTGTTAAGAGGATAGATTGTCTCACTATCCAGACAGTGTTAAGAGGATAGA